TAAACCTAACCCTAAGCCTAAGCTAAAGCCTAAGCCTAAGCCCAATCCTATTCCTAAACCTAACCCTAAGCCTAAGCTAAAGCCTAAGCCTAAGCGCAATCCTATTCCTAAACCTAACCCTAAGCCTAAGCTAAAGCCTAAGCCTAAACCCAATCCTATTCCTAAACCTAACCCTAAGCCTAAGCTAAAGCCTAAGCCTAAGCCCAAATCTAAGCCTTTGACCAAAAGTTGTAAGCCGAAACCAAGAGATAGGCCGGTCCAGGCTTTTCGCCAAAGCTTGATCCCAAAAGCTGACTCAACCGCTTGGCCAACTCCAGAGCTTTTGGCACACAGTGTATCTTGTCACACCGTTTTTCCGAAAGCTTTTTTCTTGCCTTGTGCCTCGCTTTCCGGGTCCATTCCGCTTGCGGGCGAACGCCCAACGACTGGCCCAAGCTGTCGGCGTGAACTTTTATTTACCAGAAAATTTTGGCAGCGAAAGCTGGCCCTGATCACCAGTGCTTGTCAGGCCAAATTTATCGTCTGTTTTTGTTGGCTTTGGGGTGGTGGATCACTTGGGAACGGCGTTGGGAAATTGTTTGAATCCTCTATTTTGTGTCTTCCCTCTATTTCTTAGGGCTTTGGCTTAGGCTTAGGCTTAGGCTTCAGGCTAGGTTAAGGCTTCGGTTTGAACGTAGGCTTAGGATTAGGCTTAGGCTTCAGCTTAGAATTAGGCCCAGTCTTAAGTTAGGTCTAGAATTAGGCTCCGCTTGAGCCTCTTAAATTCCGTTATTTCTGGTCTTTCAGAATTTCCGAACTCTCCAAAACTACCAAAGTACGTATTACGCCAAGCAACGGCATTTCTTTCTTTCCGGCTACGCCAGAGCGTTCGTGATTTTTCTCTTGACTGTGAGTTTTGAGCCTCCTGACGAACTTGGACCCAAACAAAAATAGCCGCCAAAACTGAGACGCGTGGGAATTTTGGGTTTTGGCGCTACCGCGTGCCTCCGCAATGCTAACATTGACACGGTGGGTGGATTTCACAGATTTCTCATCGTCCGGTCAACTATAGTGATAACTGTGGGGGCTTTAAGTGTTTTTTGGGAGATCCGCCTACGCAAAAAACCTAGACTTTGGTTGGTTGCCAGATCACGAAAAGACGGATGGAATCGTTTTGACAGTTATTACTAGAGGCTGGGTTTAAGCCGATCAGCCTAAGCCTAAGCCCAATGAACCCCAAGGAACCCGAACCCAATGCCGTTCTACGCCAAAAACGTAGAACATCATTCCTTTGACACACTGACGAACCCTTCTGAATTATGAACAACGAGGGTTTGTGAATTATGGATGACGTTAAGCGACCACTGGTCTAACTGAGGTTTTTTTCTAGTTTAGCTTTGCTTTTGGTCCCGGGAAGTTACTGTATTGTATCTACTTTATAGAAAACAGCCTTGCATATCCCCTTCTATAGTGCGTACTACGTAAGGCTACAAAAGTCCAATAATGCTCTAGAAACAAATTCTCAAATGGGATATTTGGTTCTTAAGAGCTTACTGTATGCCGTTTATTTCTGCGCTTCATCTTAACCACACGTTTCTATTCGACATTACGATGGTATCCCGGTCAAGGAACCTCTATTTTTCAGTAAAGCGGTTCTTAATGTAGTCGTTTCGGTAAACAATTCCCTATTCCACTGCGCTCTCCCGTGTCTTCTGGGCCCTTGTCTAGGGCCCATGGTGGCCGGGCGGATACCTCAATAGCCCATGAGGCTCAAGGAATCGTGGTTGGTGCCCCCATTTTATGTCTGTGCCACATGTTGCCATTTAGCTCCCCAATGAACCACAGTGTCGGCCAGGGCTACAAGGAAGTTTTTGCCTGGGGTCTAATGGGGCGCCTTTGATCTTAATTTTCAGAAAAAGGGTTTGATGGAAAGGGCTCAAAGCTAACAAATTGGTTCAGCCTACCAAGTTTCGATTGAAGCATCCGTTTTTATTACTTTTGATTTATTACGTCTTAAAGGGCTCGAGAGCGTAAGAATCTGGTCTTTACCTAGACAAGATGTAGCCTTCTTCATCTAGCCAAGATCTGCAGGCCATGAGCACTTCACGTCGGCATTAAACGTGCTTTCACATGGTACGGGACGGTTGACACCTAGCTAATGATAAGATTCTACCTAAAGGGGTTTGTAAGCCCTAGAGTCAACCCCATTTCGCTTAGGTGTAGAAAACCACGCTTAAGCGGCAATTAGCGTTAAACCGTGGCCACATTTTGCGTAATATTCACAAGATTTAAGCCCGGGGCTAAGTCCGACCAAAATGTTCTCAGCTGTATTACGTAGACAATGAGAAGATGGACACCTTGGCTTACTGATACCTTGAAAACAAAGATGGAGTAATTTTGCGAATACGGTTTATGCAGTTTTTAAATTCACTGCTGATAATTCGTTTCTGAGAAGAAAGGAAAAACAAAAGGTTCTGGTTTCTACGGTAGTTGATCATCAGGGTGATGCAAACTGCATACCTTGGTAAATTTGCGTTTAAAACGAAACCTAGCGCCGGTAAAAATGTTCAGCATTTTTTATAAAACGTAAATTTAGCCAGAATTCTGGCAGCACACAAAAATTGGCTCAATGGCTTGAACTTCACGAGCTTGAGAATAAGCTGCTATCCGACACGTGTCCTTTTTTGCCAATTCGTGCACTTCATGAAAACCATTAGATCCCGAAGTTCATCTCCATCCCATCAACCCTCTCTTCTGATCTTTGACGTCCCAATGTTGACCCCATTTCCTCATTCCGCCGCCGTTCCTCCATCATTCCTTCATCTTTGCGACAACGATCCCCTATTTTTTTGTGTGTAAGCCCTCGTCTTCCTTATCCGCCACCCCCCTCCCCCCCCCCCTCCATCGGACACTCCTCATTTATGCATTTCCCGGATGCATTTCTAATAGAAATAGACACAGGCGGGCAAGGCAACAGGGCTCGGTAATTTCCAAACCTTTCGCGACCCCGGGCGAATTCCGTGAAGTTACGCTCGCTCGAAAAATGGGGCCTATTTCGTGCCAAAGTGGGCTTTTTTGGTTCGCATTTTTCAAGCATTTTACCGGATCCCCGACTGCCGTAATAGCCTTAATTTTCGGCTTACTTTTGTTTTGCCAGCCTTTCCAGAGCCGGGGTGTCCCCTTTGCAGCCATGGAAATTTGAAATTTGGAAATTTTTTTGAGGCGTTGAAATGAAAAATGTCACAAAGCCTCAGCTTCACCCGGCGTCCTGTTGCCAAGCAGTACAAAAAAATAGACAAAAAGCGTCTGGTCGAAATCCTTTAGCTATGGGAATGGGCTAGTCTTTGCCTAGTGGTTTTGATTTCGATCTTGCTGGAATCGGCAAGGAACCTAAAACGGTTTTTGTTGCGATTTCGGTCATTTTACCTCGAACCACCCGATGCTTAGTAATAGCCTAAATTTGTATAGATTCTTTTTGCATTTACGTTCTTAGATTTTTACAAAGCGAGAGATCGAAGAGACATCGAGAGGAAGATATTGTCAAATCCTGGACAGTGGACACCTTCTCGTTGCATGGGGCAGGGTTCGAAGCCTTATTAGGCAACATTTCCCAACAAGGGCCTATTTCGACTATAATTTTCAGTAGTTGCATGCAAACTACGTCGGAATATCTTCGGATAAATTTTTCCAACGCGAGAGAGCTGAGAGAGAGAGAGAGCTAGAGAAAGGTGTCGCTGGGATCCACACCCTACTTACTCGTGTCTATTTGTTTTTCGCCAAATCAATTTTAGCACTTGCATTTGCTGTTTAATCCCGGCCATAAGGTAAAATTCCTATGCACGAATTCAACTCTAAAGTCATCCTTTCCCCTCGAAAATATCAAAACCAGCCGAATTTCCGGTTCGATGTTTCCGGAAAAACTTGGCCGCAAGTTCCGCCCAGCTTCCAAGAATTCGTGGAACGCTTCTAGCCCCGATGGTGGTTGTGAGAATTCGCGCATCTTTATTCAATTATCATCGTTTCCACCTCCTCCTCCTTCACACCCACAGGCTTCTTCCGCTCCTCAAATGGGCACTTCTCAGGGTGGGGATACCCACGCGGCTCACGGCGCGGGCCCCAGTCTCATCTTTTATTTATGACAAATTGCGTTCCGATTCACTTTTGCAATCGGGGGATGTCCCAGCAAAGGGAGGAGGAGGGTGAGCTTCTTCTCAGGGTTCGCCGGGAATTTTGTTTTTGAATTTTTTATGTGTTCTAGAGAGGATCAGGCTTCTTAGCTTCCCAAAAATGATTGGAAATATCAATTCTTTAAGTTTTGTTTTATTGAATAGTTTTGAAAATGGAATCCTCGTTTGTCCTATTTTATAAAGAACTCATAAACCCTTTTGGCACTGCTTTTAAAAATTAATTTTCAACCAGGGTTGAAAAGCCGCTTCACTGACTTTTCAACCCTGGCCCTGTCTGATCTCATGATATACCTGACTTTGCATATTTCTTGGACTTCCTGTGACAAAAACGAAAATGGCGCTCTCTACCCCATTATATAGGCCACCGGAACTTCCGGCACATGCTAATTTTTTCCTAACAAAGAAGGTCGTCGATTTTTAACAAAAAGCTAAATTTAATGTCGAAAATAGGCAATTTTGATAAATCTTATGTGCGTGCAGTCATCTCTAGGCGATTACGCACCTAATGACGGTCAAACGTACTCTAAAACCCATCCCCGATCGAGATACGACTGGAACATACTGACGGAAGTTGCATGCAAAGTTACACACACACACATACACTATTTTTTTATATATAGTAGGATCAGCTAGCTGTAAGGGCTGTACGACTAAAAAATTCTTCAAACAATCTTGTTTTTCTTAGAACTATTCTGAACTGACCGTCCATAATGATTTCGTATTTTCATTTTTACAATGTTTAAAGTATTCTGATATATTGATTTCCTCTTTTCTATTTTCCTCAACGCCTTCGTGCCATTTTCCATGCCTAAATATTCAAAAAATCTTTCAGAAATGCGGCGAAATAGCGAGGAATTCGAGGAGCTGCTCGCGAAGGTCGTGTTGACGATTTCTGCTAGGTCGGTTGTCTAAATAGTACCCTAAAATTGTCACGTACACCCCGAATCTGCATCTAGCTTCGGGCACCTAGCGAACGTTCAAACGCTCAAAAATGCAGTGTTTTAGAGTTAGCCGAGGCCGGTAGCGATACTAGAATTTCGAAACCCGGGTGGAAGAGGGCCAAAAAGGGCAACCTGACGCTAGAACTAGCAAATTTTTATCTGTCACGTTTCCTTTAAACTCTTTATTTTTAGGGATCTCCGAGACACTGACCTCGAAAGCGTATCCGACCCTTTTTGCGTGGTATCCGTGATGACGGTCGGCCCGATAACGACCAAAAAATGGAAGGAAATTGGGAGGACCGAGGTAACATTTGGGGCTTTTTGGATAACTAACCCTGTCGCTACCAAGCAGCCGGACGAGGAGGACGAATTTCAGAAAAAGCTAAGGCTCCAGCGCCGCGTTGGCCCGTGGCGTTACGTAGGGAAAACGGAGGTTCGAAAGTGTGTGCATACGGCCGCAAGCATCTTTAACAAAATTGTTTTTATTTTGCTAAAAATAGCGAAACCTCAAATTGTCTAGAAGCGGGATCTTAAAGGAATGGCAACAGCACGGAGAATGGGGAGAACGAGCTTGAGAATGAGTGTGAGAGAGGGAGAGAGAGAGAAAGCGAGGGAGATCGAGAGAGAGAGTTGGAGAGAGAGAGAAAGAGAGAGAAGAGGGAGAGAAAGAGAGGTTCCATTTTTAAGGATCAACTCCTCAATCCCAAAATTTGGATAAGCACATTACTGAAAGTATTAAAAAGATTCGAAAACATTTTGAAAATTCAACATAACTTTGTTCATTGCGCCCATCCCCATACATCACTCACCAACAATTTCTTCCCCATCCCCGAACTTTGTTTTGTTATTGTCTCGAGCCTGGATTTTTTTGGGGCGCTGACAATATTGTTATCTGCTTTTCGACAATTCCCAAATCGACAAATCCCCCAAATCCGTCAGCGGATTCCACGGAGAAAGTAATAATAAAAATGGTTCGAAATCCCGAACTGCGCTCAAAATCAGCTTAGACTATCGAAAATGGCATTGGAATCCGATATCCGGAGTCGGGGCTTGTCAGTGTTGGCCGATTGTTGATTGGTAGGCGAGAAAAAAAAAGAAGGAAATCAAATCCTGGTTTATCCAGAGATTTCAGATTTGTCGTTTTTGGAGGTAGCGATAACAAAAAATGCGTTATTTTGGGGTGGCAGGCTAAATTCAGGATTACGAGGCCGTAGAGCGGTGTAGGGAGGAAAGTACGTAGTCATCAGACACGTCGGTTTGCTCAAAAATTGAGACGCAGCTATTTACGATAAAACGTCACTCCACCAAAAAATGAGCCAAACAAATAAAGATTAAAATCCAAGAGTTAAAAATTATTTTGTGTGTGCCATTCGCTAATAATGCTTATAGTCTTTTAATAGCTTCAGACCCATATCTTCGATTTTTAAGGTGATCAACAACTGCCTGAACCCCGACTGGGCCACGAAAATCGAGCTCACCTACGCGTTTGAGGAGCAGCAAAAGTTGCAGTTTGAAGTGTAAGTCTGAATGTAAGCCAAAGCCTAAGCTCAAGCCTAAGCCTGAGAAACCAAGCCTAAGTCTAGGTTTAAGCCTAAGCCTAAGCCGAAGCCGAAGCCTAAGTTTATGCCCAAGACAAAATTACTATGAAAAGCATTTTTTTCAGATTCGACTACGCCAAATCCGGAAAACCTACTCGACTCGGTGGAGCGAACGTTTTGCTTCACGAGATCGTTGGAGCGAAATATAATCGAGTGACCGTGCCGTTAATGTGAGAATTAATGTGTTTTTGTTCCCCAAGCTTCTCAGATTAAATTTTATGGCTTTTATAGAGAAGAAGGGAAGCGATACGGTAGTATTACGGTAACAGCTGAAGAAATGGGTTCCGGGCGGCAGGAATCCGTCTATTTCATGTGCAGGTGGGTGCTCTAATTCAATTCACTTGAAGGCCTACGCTTTATAGCGGTAGAAAAGAAAAAGAGAAAGTAAGAGAGAGAAAGATAGAAAAAAAGAGCTGTTGGAGCTTAGTTAAAACCAAAATGTTGTTTATTTTCAGCGCAACAAAACTCGACCGAAAAGACTTCCTCGGCAAGTGCGATCCATTCCTCAAGATTTCAAGGATAAACTGGGATAACACGTGAGTTCTTAAAAACCATCCACCGTATCCCATGCCCCCGTTCATTTCCTGCCAAATATACCTTTTTTGATTTCCCGGCTACTACTCAACCCTTAGACTCTCAACCTCAACACTTAGCAACTACTCAACCCGTATCCACCCAGAAACCGTAATTTCTGTCTTCCCGACCGGTTCCAAAAACACAGTTTTTGCGATCGAGGGTGGATGTCAGGCGTCAATCGGGGATTATCGCACATTTGCATGTCCTTAAATCCGCGCAATATTAAAATCCAGGCATTTTTCAGAGTCGTTGATGCTTTGAGCCGGCTCAAGTTGCAAGCGAAGTTTAGTCCGGGTTTATTCAGGGTTTTGATGTAATGAAAAACCTTAGCACGGTCAAAATTGCAATAGTTGATGTTACAAGGTGGTTATGGCCGGTGGTATATGGTATATATTTTGGGATAAGTTCCGCGTGAGTACCCAACGCGGGGGCAACGCTATGTGAAGTTAAGCTGATGTCTAGTTCTCTGCTTCTCTAGACAGGACACGACGTAGTGCTACGTTGCGCTCCAAAAGGCAATGCTACGGTGCACCATGAGGTGTTACTTCTGATACGCCCGGTGGCTTTGACTAAGTTATGCTAAGTTACGCTGCGATACGCTATAATACGCTACGATACGTTACGATACGCGACGATACGCTGCGTTACACTACGTTACCTTAGCTTAAAATCCCATGCGCTTCGATCCTTGCCTAGTTTTCCCTACTCAGTTATCGGCACTCAGTCACATAGTTACGCAACAGAAGACCTTAGATTCAGAACTCGAACCCAATCCAATGATTTTCAGGCTGCAACTCGCCTACCGTACTCGATACCGAGAACAAAACTTGAATCCGAAGTGGAAGCCATTTGAGGTGCACATTGATCAGTTATGCTATGGCGATAAGAATCGGTAAGTTGCAAATGACTGGGCTCGTATGCTATTTTGCTCAAGAAATCGTCGTTTTCAAATACCCAAGTAAGACATTTTTCTTGAACCCCCAAATTTCGAAGTCTATACGATATACTTTGAACTCAGAAACCCTGGAAAACAATATTTTTTCCCCACTACTTTACACATGACCTGGGGACTTCCCAGGTCAGGTCAAAATTCGTATAGTCACATGGGCTTTTTGGTAAATAAATGTGGTACGTACGAGTTGGTCTTGTTAATCCGGTGTTAGGATTCCAGCTTTTACAGAGAAGATCTTATGGTAGTAAGCGAGAAATTAGAGTATTTTTCACCCGCAAAAACAGCTTACCTAACTAACTTCCTACTTTGAAAGTGATGCCTTAAATATGAGATTGATTTTCGCAACTGGTATTTGAAACGTTTTCTCAAAAATATCTATAATAATAATTATACAAGGTAAAAAATTATACTTTAGCTTAGCGGTTATATCAGCATACAATTTATTTTCTTTTTATTTGAAGACGAAATTAAAAATTTTTTATTTAAATTGACTAAGCATTTTCTCCATTTCAGACCCTTCCTGATCGAGTGCTACGACTGGGACCAGGATGGAAAGTGAGCTCCAATTTTTCAAACTTGCAATGAGTTGCTATATTCCTAAATTTTTAATTGTCGGTCCCTGCCTAAAATAATTTGCCATCCACCTACCGTACCCCCATTTACCAGCCATTTCCAAATCTCCAAAATCTCCCATTTGCGTAGATGTCCCAAAAATATTTGCGCATCCCATCCCACCCTCGCCGGATAATCCGGATATAATTTTGTGTTTTCTGGCAGGAAATGCGAGTTTCGGGGGTAATTTCGTTAATGTATCCTTTCCAAGAAGTCCACCTCTCCATTTTCGTGATGAATTTTTGGGCATCTACAGTAACCAAAAGAGTACCTTGATCTCAGCCTCTCTAAAATTTGAATGAAAATACCGCGAAATGGCCGGATGGCCGGAAAGTGCAGAAGATAGGGAGAATCTTGTAAATTTTGAAGATCATGGCTATTTACCGAATACACTGTTCGTACCTCCATTAAATATTTACGGTACAGTCAGTACAAAAAGCTTTGTACCATGTGAAATTCGGAATAGCAAAGATATGGTACCGCTGGGAATGAAAAACAACAAGGGGGGTGCAAAGCGTTCTCTAATGCTTGTTTCGATGTTTGAAGCAAATTGGATAATACGTGGACTCGGTTTAAAATGGCAAATCAGGTTTTGGAAAGTATAAAAGACTGGGCGCCTCAAATTTTGTTTTTCAGCCACGATCTCGTCGGGTCTTGCACAACGACGGTGAATCGATTGACTTCTGGAGACGATGTGTCGTTATCGGTAAGATTTTTAGAGATTTCTCCACCGCTTCCGTAAGCCCAAGCCTAATCATAAGCCTAAGCCGAAGCCTAAGCCTAAATCTAAGCTTAAGCTTAAGCCTAAGCCGAAGCCTAAGCCTAACCCGATCTAAACCTAAGCCTAAGTCCAAACCGATTCCTTTTGTTTACCCTCACTCACCTCTGATGACTTGAAGTACGGAACTACAAGCCGATTTCGGGATATTTACAAGCAACAATCATTCCTAAATCTGCGCGTGATGTCTTATTAAATTAATTGTCCTGGCCCGGTATCCTAAAGTGTATAATCTGCCCGAAATTTGGGGGACAACAGCAATTTTCAGATCGGGAAGGCAATTCCTTAAATGTTATTTTGAGGGCAATGCTGCTTGGGCTGTGAACTGTGGAATAACATTTTAGGGAAATTAGGGCAAGATACAACGTTTAGGGGATCAAGAATCTCTGCTCGGTGGCCTCTCGGACAAGCTCAAAATCCTAAAAAGCTCGTAATTTGATTTTTCCTTTTCCCCGCTGGTTTAGCGCTTTACAGCGTCAAAATTCGAAGGCAAAAATGTTAGAGACCGCAAAAGGACTTGGAATTTATAAAAAAAGATTCCATAAATTCTCTTTTTCAGCTCATCCACGAAAGAAGGCCCGAAAGCCGAAAATACGTCGACTCGGGGCAGCTGCACTTCACAAAGTCTACTGCTGGCTCGACTTCACGTTTTTGGATTTTGTTCAGGGCGGGTGGGTATTTGGTATTTTTCACGCGGGCGTGATGACGCGGTGTATTCGAAAGATCGGGATGATTTCTTGGGAATGACTGGTGACATCGAATCCATTAGGCGGCCATTTATAGCCAGAAAAACATAATTGCGTGTTATGGTCATGACCCCACGGGAATTACAAAAGCTCACGACCAGGAATTTAACGAATTTCGAGGAATCACATGAATTTCATGAAAAAGGCCGTTTTGTAGTGTCTCCGGAATGGTGGAGCCGAAGTTGCTGTGAAGTAAAGTGAGGAAAGTAAAATAAAGGGAGATCGAGACTTTTCTATATTTTAGATCGTTGATTTTGAATTACCTAATTTATCTCCCTTTTCAGTACGGAACTCGACTTCACCGTCGCGATCGATTTCTCCTGTCGAATCTCCCATTAAATGACCCATCCTCGCTCCATCGGATAGGTCCCGGCACGGCCAACCAGTACGAGACAGCGATACGAGCTATCGGAGAGGTAGTGCATCTACAAGCTACTCCACGTTACAAACGCGATGTTCCCTACAAAGTTCTAGGATACGCAGAAGACGCTCAAAAACTCTTTCGTATGCCTTAAACCTGAACTTTCCAAATCAAGAAATCCAATATCCGTCTTTTTTTTATTCTACCTATTTCAAAATGCTTTCTTTATGTTTCCAGATCTGCCAGTTCTACAACGCGAGCAAAGTCTTCAACGGGTTCGGCTTTGGGGCCAAGCTCCCGAAATCCGATCAAACGCTGTATAACTTTCCATTGGTAAGGTTTTTGACATTTACAAGGATTTCACTAGACGAACTTTGGGATCGCTTCATAAGAATAGGTATCGATATTTTTTGACAAACCCTGGAAAACCCCATTGTATATTCGTATTTCCAATGAAATCTGTGGTTGTCGACCATTTTTGGAAAACTTTGAAACTTGACCTAGAAAATCCCCGTTTTTTATCGTTTCCAGCGAATCCTCGGTCGTGCAAATAATATTATTCAGGCGCCCCTCTTGACTTTTCAATAGGTGTAAACAGGGAATACCCTGTACCCCAGACAGCATTTTCTGGAAGCCATTATACCGGGCTTGGATTAACAACCAATCTGGACACCCCGCGATTAATTAGTCCCAATGGGGGCAATGAATAGGCAAGAAAGGATGGGGATTAGTGGTAGGAGGACAATTGTGGGAATCTCGTTGAAAAAAGTTAGGATTGTGGTGTGTGGAGATGGTGTTTTGCTCACCGTAGTTTTTTTACAGGGGTTCTGGAATTGTGGTTTGGTAGCGGCGAAATGTAGTATTGGAAGTTGGGAAGCTCCAAAAACTTTTGTAGCTGAAACGGAAAATTAGACGCTGTGAAGCTAGTTCTACACGCCTAGGGCATGCTAGCAGAGACGACTTGTATCGGTTATTGGAGAGAGATAGAGAGAGAGCGCGCGCGTAAGACAGTAAAAGTAGGAAGAGCTTCCTATAAGAAAAATAGCGTACTGATTAAGACGAGCTAGCAAACACCTTGAGAAAGTTATGAAAACTTCGAGAACCTATCTTTTCAGAATATCGAGACCGGCGAGCCACGATGTGATGGTGTCGATGGCTTGGTAAAGAGCTACCGCTCGGCATTACGACATGTAATTCTGTCCGGACCTGCTGATTTTGCGCCCACGATAAGGTATTTTCAGGCGACCACTGCTAATTCGCGTTTGTTCTCCAGGTTCGCTGCCCAAAGAGCAGCATCCTTACCCGCAAATGGTAGTAAATACTCCGTTTTGCTCATACTCACAAACGGGATCATCGCTGATATGGAGCGGACGAAGGAGCAGGTCGTTAAGGTAAGTGTATCTTAATTTTTTCATTTCTTTACGATTTATGGGTTTATTATTAGCATGTGTCCTCGGCAGAACTAAAGAATTTTCACGGCTCCCTAGAATTTTCACATAAGTCTTCAGGAAAAAGCCGGGCGGAGTTCACTTTTGAAATTCTCACGCAAATCTACAGAGCACACAGTTAGTTCTAAAAAACAGACAGCGTCGCGGCATCTTTAGACAGGTAAAATAGCGTGCATAAAAGCCAATATGAATTCTTAGGCTTTTCAGCGCTTCCCTAGCGTTTTTTTTCATAAAAACCGGGAGCCTTGCCATTGTTTTCTCGGTTTTTGATGTCCATCCCCACACTCAAATTTTCACAACAAATTCCTTAGAAAACCCAAGCTAATGAAGCTGGGCCGTGCATTTACGACTTCTAGGGCCTTTTACGAAAAACTTCTCTCTCTCCCCCTCTCTCTCTCTCGCTCTCTCTGTCTCCCTTTCCATTTCCGCGAAAACGCCTACACTCCACAATTCTGGCCAGTAATTATCATCTCTGTCAGCACAACGTAAAGCTGCCATCGAGACGGGCTAATTGTGGATCCGGCTAATTCCCGCTGGAATCCGGTAGACACCTCTAGGCTTCGGGATCAAAGCAGAGAAAAAATTAGTGGCTAAAACTGGACGGGGCAGACCAGATCGAACACAGGAATCGGAAATTACCCTAATTGGGCTGAAGCTTACGCAGAATGTACTGAGACGCAATATCGGATTGTATAAGCCATTTCCGGTAATTTCCGGGTTTGCCGGCTCAACGATGTCTGGGGCTAGAAATAGATTCTGGGATTTGTGGGGTAACGAGGTTCGGCAGATCTGGTAGGAAGAGAAGATCAGACGAAACGATGCAGAAACTTTCGGATCGCTTCATTTTAGGCTTAAGCTACGTTAGCTATAAAACAAAACCTGAAAATCGAAAATGCTTTCAACATGCGCTTCAACTCGATTTGAAGCTCAACCACGCAACAAATTTCCAACATTTCTAGATTGACTGACCCTTAAATTTGAATTTTCTCGTATTTTCCTGATAGTACAGATGATCCGGGTAGACCACGGTACGGTAGTCTATCCGGCTAATCCGCGAAACCTTGAAACAAAAGATTATTCTCGCATCCGGGCAAAAGTTTACGAGAAAAGGATACTGTAGTTTTGGAGGACACCACCTTTAATTTACAATTTCAGGCCTCCTCCCTCCCACTCTCCGTAATCATCGTCGGCGTCGGCTACGATTCTTTTGACGAGATGAAAGTCCTGGACTCCGACAACCAACTCCTCTCCTGGCATGGCCGCTTTGCAAAAACGGGACATTGTTCAGGGTACTGTTTTCCCTTTTCGTCAGGATTTATAAATCCTGCGTAGTCATGAAACTTTTTTACTTCCACCGCCCCCCTCCCACGACTTACCAGCACTTAGCAGCACATAACAAGTATCTTGCCCCGTTTTTCTTTTATCATCCCCTGGTTTTTACCTGTCGGACGGTACTGAGCCGGGGGATTGAGCGCATAAGAAAGATTACACATTTTTTCTGGGGTTTCGTGGGAGCATTGACCGTTCTGGAACGCATCTAGGAAATGAAGCGAGGCTACAAGAGGCAGCGAAATTTTCTAGATACAACCTTGTATTTTAAAAAATCAAATCACACGCAAAACAAAGTTACTGGTTGTAGCGAAAAATTTAAAACACGCGAATGTTGTAGTTTGTCCAAATGCGGAACTTCTTGCCCCCTCATCGACATCTTAACGAAGAAGAGCTGACGGATGCAAGGGAGAATTTGGCAAAAGAGGTACGTTAATTATAGCGAGAGAGAGACAGAGAGAGAGAAAACTAGAAAGAGACGAAGATGAATGAAATTTTCAGGTACTGCAAGAAATCCCAATCCAATTGACCAGCTACATGAAGTCGCGCGGAATCTACCCCTCAGCTACCGTAACGGAGCTTCTGAATTTACACCTCGAGCCACGAAGCACCGATTCTTCTGCTACATCGTCGCCTATGATCGTGAGTTTCTGGGAGGCTTCTCTGGGATGCTTGACCGGATCTTCGGAGCTTACACAAGTATTTTTCCCGCGCTCTTCTCAACCATTCAATTTTCGTAATTATCTTCCGCATGTACGATATCCGTTCCGTACTGGTTTCCTGGAACGCCTGGCACTGCCTGGCGCCTCTAAGCTCGTGCTAATCTCGCAATATGGAAATGGCGCGGTAGGAAGCACTAAGCTTAAATGCGAAAAATACCAGCAACAATCGTAAACTGGGAATCACGGGGATCATTCAAAAATATGCGGACCATAGGTGTTCACGCTCGGAAGCTGTTGAAAATTATGTGCTGGCGGTGACTGTTTATAAAGGAATTGTGTCGGGAAAAAGAGTGAAAGGTGAAAGAGAGAGAAAGAGAGAGAGAGAGAGAGAGAGAGAGAGAGAGAGAGAGAGAGAGGAGCGATAGAGCGAGAGATCTCAAGCTAATGTCGCAGTTTTCAGTCGCCACGACATACAACTGCTGAACGTCGCATCTCCCCTCTAGCGCGACTTGGCTCAGCTCAACCAACCGGAAGACCGATGAGCTATACCGATACTCCTCCGCTATCCGCTCCACCACTCTCCAACCAGCGTGAGTTCTCTGAATCTATATTATGTCTAATTATCAAAAATCTTTTTTTTTGCATTGCGTAATCGGTTGGCTTTTTGCCAATTGTAGAGCGCGTCTGTTCGAATTCGCTGGAAGGGGAAGATTTTCTTGTTCCCCGTAATTCCGAAAAGTGCGAAAAACTGGCGGCCCACGCGCAACATCCGTAACCACTCAGCGTCAGAATTCCGATGGAAAAATTCAACTCGCGCTTAGCAATGCCCGCGTTGTACGCTTTTCCGTCGCTATTTTGGGATTCTGGAAGCAAGAAGCGTTCTGCAAAAAAAGCGGATAGACTAAACTAGGAAAAATGGCTCCTGAAGGCTCACTTTGTCAATAAAATAAACTTAAAAACTAACTTTAAAACCCGGATCAAGATTTTGTATTGAATTAGAAAGTATTTTTATTGACTTAAACCAATATCAAAAATGAAATTTTACAATACTGCATTCCACAGTAAAATGAAGATCACTTTGGCTCCTCAAATGACTTCGATATTTTAGATTTTTCAGGCTTTGGCAGCCCGTCCCGCGTTCGCCGACGACTACTGCAAATCCCCGGCGAGCAGCTCAACCAGATGCATATTTACTAATTTTTGCTAGATTTTTGTATTCTCTTCAGCCGATAATTTCGTAATTTCCGCATTTTGCGAAACCGCCGAGATTTTTCAAATTGCATTTCGACCTGTGTTCCAACCGCTCATTCACTTAGCCCGGCCGCCCCCGCTACTCGAGGAAATCATGTGCGTGTTTTGGCAGTTTTCGCTGTATTTTGTGTCAATTCCTCCTTTTTTTCTGGTCCGCTGAGGATAAAGATTTCATACGGTAGCAAGGTGCTGCTTTCGAAATACGTGAAATTAATAGATGCTATGAAAATCAAGAATTTTTCGATTTCACGATTTTTTTTTAAGGAGCATGGAACATGTTTTGCCTGTTTTACAACGTAATAGATCCACAAATCAAGAATTTCACTAGTTCACCATTTTTTCGCACACGTTTTAACATGTTTTGCCTGTTTTCCAAAGCAATGGATACTACAAATCAAGAATCTCACCATTGCCGATGTTTTCGCAAGTGTTCCACCTGTTTTGCCTGTTTTCCAGCATCGCCAGTCCTTTAAAAATCACAAAATTTCACAAAATGGTTCTTTAAACCAAGTGAAAAAAATATTCTGCAGATCAATCTCAACACGCGGATTAACTTTTTGACGCGACCCCCTTTAAAACCAAAAGTTAATTGTGACCTTAAAAATCTGATAGCGAAGCCAAATTTTGATGTTGACCAACAGCACTCCCCGTACTATATAGAAGCCCTATATAGCAACAAATCGTCGTGTATCCCCCATTCTCAAGGGGCCTGCAAATTTGCAAGTGGAACAGAAATTGGTCACTGACTCGCTAGAATGTCAGCATCAACCCCGAGAAAAGCATGGAATCAAACATCTACAAAGAATACGGTGGCTTACGGTAGCCGCAAAAAACAATAGGTACTGCCGGGTCCGCGTTCACGTGAACGGCAGGTGAAAAGAACGTGACAATTTGCCCTGGAAACTGGGAATAGTTTTTCTGCTCGCAACTTCAAAAAAACAGTGAAAACGCGAGGAAATAATAAGTTCGGTTTAGGAGCAATTAAGATTACGGCTTAAGCTCTTGCAAGCCTAAGTCTAAGCCCAATCCAAGCCTAAGCCCAAGCCCAATTAAGCCTAAGTCTAAGCTTCTCTCTTCTCTCACTCGCTCTCGCTCCTCTCGTCTTTTTGGCTATCCACTCGTTAAATGGCACGTTCAAAGGGTTGTTTTTCATGAACTTCCGGGGTGGCGACTTTCCCAGTTTTCCGGAATTTAGATCCGGGTCCCCGGGTTGGGTCGGGTCAGGCCCGCCGGGCAAAAACTCGGGTTCCGATTTTCCGCTCAACTAGCCGGGCCCCAAAATGGCACGGATTTCGCCACCACCACACCCGGAAATGCATACTTTTTCTCGTTACATGATCGGTGCCTCCTCTCTCTCGCTCTCTCGTTCTCTCTCCCTCGCTCTCTCTAGCCCATTCACGAGCATCCAATCGTTCTATTTGGCGTGCTCTAGAGGGTGAGTCGGCTGTTGGTTTTTAAGTACATTTTTTTTGTGGACGCCCAGGGTCGCCTAGTAACTTTTTCAACACAAACCTTTCCCAAAAAACCTCCCTCGCATGGCTAACCTCATCGAGAAAAAAACGGGTGGGGATTAGGGTCGTGGAGCACTGAAAAACGACCTTGCCACCGTATGACTCACGGAGTGGAGATGGAACCGGAGGGGACAGCCGGGGAAGAAAGAGCCCATGGTTTACGGTTGCTTTCCTTTGGGGTGGAATGTTCCAAATCGAGGCGTCGATTTTCGAAACAAAGATCCGCCTCGAGCACGTGGGGTATCGGGGAACGCATGATCACGACTGAAGAAGCTTGACTTTTCGATGATGCCCTTTTGATGAACTTTTTGCAGCAGGGGAGGTGAGAAAATCCGGGTCGTCAAAGAATTAGACATAACTGATGCGACGAGCCGGGAAGCTCGAACCGAACGTCATATTTGCTCGAATCAGATGCTTGCACGATCCCTTTAAAGGCCGCCTCAGAAATCTTCTTTTAACTTGGCTCGTAGCTGACTGTAAAGTGTTTTTACTCAAGTTGGAGTTTCGATTCGGGACCAAGTGCATCTTGTGCAGAATTTTTCGCAGATTCCGAATCCGCTTTCCAAATTTGCTGCGGACTTTTATTTTGAAAGTTATACAGCAGTTCTGGTAGTGTTTTCACCAAAATCAAGGAACCGTTATCGTTTTCAATTTTCCTGATCAATTTCAACTTCAAAATTGGCTAGAGATTGACTAGACAAGCATCTTAAAAGGCAAAACAAGCTTTTTTATAAAAAATTAAATTTTTTATGCAAAAAGCAAAAGAAGCAGGGCGGGGAACCGAACCGCCGCCCTGCGCTTGGCAAGCGAGCACTTTGCCAATGCACCATGGTGCCAACCGTGAGGGGAGCTGTGACAGAGTACTTCAGGGCCCCTGGGCTCGGCAGAACTATGGAGAAGAATCAAAATAAGATCAGAGTTGAGAGTAGCCTGGGTTTATTGCTCTTTCTGCTGCAAATTGCTTACTTAAAGCACGTTCTCTGTCTCTGTCTCTCTCTCTCTCTTCCTCGATTTTGACGTTTTGGCGTGCATTTCGAACTCGGTTTTTATCTTTTAAATTTATTAAAAACACCTCAATGTACAACCTTAAAAAGTATAAATAAAAAAGCAAAGCTAAATTATACAAAAAGCACGTAGGGAGAGCACAGGTATTTACAGCATACCGGCACCAAATTCGAAATCCTAACAGCCGCCTAACAGAGGCAGGCTGGCCGGGAGAGAATATTGTGGCGCAAATTTGAAATTTTCATCGAATCTTGAATGAATTTAAGCTCGCGGAAAATCACAGAATACAATAAAACTACTATTAGAATAATAAAGAGGAAAAACAAGGGCAAGGATCTTTTTTGGAGATCTGAAACCATTAAAAGTGCAAATAAAAGTCACTTAAAACCAAGTTAAGCAAGCAAAATATGAAGCAAAAGCGAGGAAAAATGCTATTTACAATTTAGCAACCAAATGGAAGCCGTTCTAGCTCATTGTCGGGCTTCATCTGAAGTAGGGCATAGGTACAGGCCCGTACGGGAGCCGAGATTTCCGGGGGGCACCCACCCAAAAATTTTGCGACCTCCCTCCCCGGTCGCCACTTTCAAAACATTCGAAAATAGCGACAATAACAGCGCCGCAGGTGAAAAGTACAGAAAACCGCGTTTCTAACGCTTAAATTTGATATTGAAAACACATCGGAAACAGCCAGCGCAAGCGAAATTTTGTTCAGCAAAAATGGTGCACTAATGAAAACGAGCGCCGCAGACAAAAATTTTAGAAAAATATTTTTTATATTTATTTTTTAGAAGTAAAAATCGTTTTCGAAACAGTGATAAACAGCGCCGCAGGCATGAAAGAATTTTTTGCGAAAAAATCATAAGGGTCCCCCTTATGAACTTTTTCGGACCTCGACCGATTTCGGGGCACCGTGCCCCAGTGCTCCCCCCCTCGTACGGGCCTGCATAGGTATCGGAATGGGTTAGGAATCGGGAAATCACATCAGATATCATAAAAAGCATAAATCGCTAAAACAGAGGTAAGCAGGAAAATACAGCATTTTCACGGTATTTTGGGAGATCCATTTCTCGATTTTCCAACCGTTAGGGACAGCTAAAGAGTGGGTGGCACCAGCGGAAACTGGCAGGGTCGGAGGGTACCCTAATGGAGACGTGTGCATATTAATTCATAGTATTTTTGAATTCGAGGGTGAATTCGAATATTTTTGGTGTGAGCAGAACACTCTCCTATTAATGCGCGGCCCAGTGGGCAGCGTCAAAATGCGGAACGAATTTCAAAAACCCTATTAAACGGTTCCCGTAAAGGGCCAATGCAGGCAGTGCTCTAAGGGAAAGGCGCTGAGATGAGAGGAGGGTTTTGGGGTGTTATTTTGGCTATTACTAATTAAGGTGTACTACATTAATGTATTAGAGGCATTAGCAGTTAATATATAAATATTAAATCATTGATATAACATTAAAATCAAGAAATTACAATATATCAAGGCTCTTTAGAAGCTTTGGGAGGTTTTGAACCTTTGTAGGGATTTGAACAAAGTATCAGACGTTTTGGAGGTATACCAACAGCTAAACAAATTAATTAATAGTAATAAAAGGAAATACACAAAACAGGGCCTTTTTAGGTCATTCTTAACAAGAAAAGGTTGCGGCTGAAGCTGCACTGTCCTTTGAGTCCCATTGTTTGGTTCCCAAAACGCGGAAAATCGCGTATTTTGGCGCCAGGTGGTATTGGGGCGCCAAATGGTGTTACCCCAATAAGATGTGATAAGAACACAAAGCCAAAGTCCGCCGACAGTCCAATCAAGCGTTCGTAGTCCGTTCCGTTCATCCATACTCATTTGCATCCGCAGCTCTGCACAACCATGTTCCGAATCGTAGTCACCACAGCCGTGTTAGCTGCAAAAAATAATTTAGAGGGGCTTACTGTAGTTCTCTAATCCCCAAAACTATAACAACTCCACCAGCCTACAACAGACAGCTGAAAAACACTACCGTAACTGTCATACTTAATTTTTTCTAGGGGCCAACAGGTGAAATTTTGCACCTAAGAAACCTATGCACACTCTAAATGAGGAAATGTTTCGGAAAAAAGTTGTTTTTTAGGTTTTTCAGGTGGGCAGATGTTTTTAACAACA